CAGGCACTAAAGGATCCAGAAATTATGTTCTTGCCATATATAGTGGTTTGAGCAATCCATCTGAAGTGTTTTACGACTCTCAAACAGATAGCATTATCATTTGTGATTATGATAATCACTCTGTAAAAATGATTGACAAGAGAACTGGATTAATTTCCACCTTGTTTGGAGCATTTGGTAGTTATAGAGATGATTTTGGTGAGACAAAGTTCCCAAAGTCAATTTATAGGACAAGTAATGGTGACTATTATTTGGGTATGGCGGTCCAAATGAATTCGATGAGTTCTGGTAATGGCGGGGTTGTTAGATTGAAGAATGGCACCTCAGAATATGTATCAGTAATAAGTTCACCCAATACCAAAGTATCTAATTATGTGTATTATGGACATAGTGCTTTAGCGAACAATTTTTATATGTTTGATGACCAGCCAAAAGTTATCTTTGCAGAAGAGAAAAGTGGCAGTTTCTTTATTGTGACAAAGAATGGGTTATTCAAATACGAAAAACAAGATGGGAAAATGTATTATGTGGACAAGGATCTAATTTCATGTTATCCTGCTATAGCTAACGATCGCAATAGCATTGCATCCTTCAGTATTTCAAACAATACAATTATATTGGGATCTATGAACATGGGAATTCTTAAAGCTGATATTAATGATCCATTCAGAAAGGTGGAGATGTATATTGGGAGCTCTACCCGTGATTATTATGGTACTGGTATTCCTTTTAATTATTCTGGTATTAGTTCAAAGCAGTTTAATCTTCAATTAAATGAACTATTTGTTTCAGTAAGTATTATCTAGTATTAATCCTTATATGGTTGTTAGGATGATTATTCGCTTAAAGCAATAGACTTGACAACCAATACCATTTCAAAAATTGCTGGAAAAGGAATCTATGATTATGTTCAAATGAATATTGACTATGGAGGTATTGGAGGTCTAGCTACAAATGCATATTTAAATTTTGATTCGAGCTCCAAGACCATCAGACTTCCAAATAATGATATCGTATTTTACAGTATATATAATGGAAAAAACGTGTTGAGAATTGTGTATGCAGAGTCCGGCAAAATAGATCACTTTGCAGGGAGATTAAAGGTTGGATGTGAAATAGCTGACTATAGTGTCAATAGTGTCAAGAGAGTGAATGCTTGTTTGGGAAATGTTTTGTCAATGACAATTCATCCAATTGAAAAGGTCTTGTACATTTTTGAAAGCTGGACTTCCTATGTTGTCATAAGAAAAATTCAAAATGATCAAATTTCAATGGTGATGGGAAATTTCACTGTGTGTCCTTTCAAAGATAAATGTGGAGATGGTTCAGATATATCCTCATTCCAAATGGCAGGAGAAAGGATAGTAAATGGGTACATTGGGTTTTCTCCAACTTCTTTGGAGATGCATATAATGACATCAAATGGATATCAGTGCAGAATTAGAAAAATAGGAAATGATGGTATTGTTTCCACTGTTGCTGGTTATATACATGGGGAGGATGCATGGCAAGATAGAAACATGGGATATGTTTACGACAACTTTATTCCATCAAAATCTTTATTTCCTTGTAAATTTATGGATTTTTTACCTAATGGTGATATTGTAATTGTTGAAGATTCTACTAGAGTTGTCAAGATCCCAAATATACCGTTTGATAAGAATCATATTAGGGACAGAGAACATGATCCGAGAGCTCTGACTGTGATGTTAGGGAGTTCAGTTGATATATATGAGTATGATAATCCAATTT